CCTATGGTTGTTTTAATATCATTCTAACCTCTTTAAAAGGATCCTTGGTGGTTTTGTTTTGAAAATATACTAAAAAATTTATAGTAAATTTTATAGTTTCCATTGCCCGGTTTTATGAAAAACTTACTATTTTTTATGTATCAAAACCCATCAGAGGGGGTGTGGGACAAAATCGAGTCAATGTCACCTTTACCAACGTACACATACGGTAATTGTTCATATAACTTAGGTAAAAGGATTATATAGTCTAAGGAAAAGGAGCATATATACGAATTTTTGACGGGTCTTGATGAGGCCTACGGAACCATAAAAACTCAGATCCTTAGCACCAAATGTCACACCCCCAAACCAGAATGGTGGAAACGTCTGGGGGCGGATGGAGTGACTTCATGTACAGTATCATAGCAATTGAATATAAATGAAACATAGAAACACAAACATTCATACATTAAGATTTCAAGTTTACATTGCTTACAAACTTTGTTTGCTCAAAAGTTAAATACAAATAACTGAAAAGTAGAAAACATGCAACAACGACGCCGACCCTCAAAATGGTTTGAATACCTGTTTACTGGTTTCCTGAGAATACAAGTGATTTTGAAAAGTGTCAACAATTAAGTTGGTGAGTTCATAAGCATTTTGTATGAGAAGGATTTGTAACGGTTTAGTGTAAAATGATTTTTGTATACTTCTAGAAAATCTGACATTTTCTTTAAAGATGAGTTGTAAGTTTTATACCCGAGACTAAAATGTATGTATTTCCTTTGTATCTCTTCCTTGTAAAATGATAATGTATGTTTCCAGAAAATCCAATATTTTCTTAAATATGAACTGTAGTCTAAAACCCTAAGACCAAAATGTAAGTAATGTTGTACTAAAAATAGTATGTAGTTTCATTTTTTTATAAAACTAATGAAGTGTAAGTTACGCCGTAAACCAAGTAGTTTCGTTAATCCCTATGTGAGTTATTATAACCATGTTAATATGACTGATATGCTTGAACGACGTTCTTCAGGCATCGGAGTTGGTAGACATTTGTCACCCTAGACTTGTCGGTCTAACTGTAGCTAACAACAGAGGTGTGGGGTTGTCAATCCCGTATAGATCTATACACAACTATCGCGTTCTCCCTCAAGGAGACTCTGGTTATAATGCATGACTTAAGGTGTACACTAGGTAGGTACGGTGAAGCGAATGTCTCACAAGAGCATCAACAGATTTACATGAACTATGACTCCTTTTTCTTGTAAAATGAAATAATTATACCTTTAAATAATTATATGGTTCTTCTAAAAGGAAAGTGTGGTTTTATGACTCCCAAACTATACCAATTATAGTTTATCTTGTATGTTTGTTGAGACTATTTATATAGTCTTTTATATAAATATAAGGTTGTTATCTTGTCTAGTGTCAAAATATGAAATCAAAACATGATATCTTTGGGTTGTAACCCACCAAAATAGTAAATGACTATAATGTAACCATTTTTGCTAGAAAAGCTATCTTTTAGTAAAAGTTTCCAAACCTTGTAGTTTTCCAAATCATACTTTTCCTTATGATATTTGTAGCATATAATGAGTTATATTTTTGTTAACTTTGCATATCAAAACTATACATCACAAATATTGTCTAAAAAGTAGTGATAATGATATCTTATGCAAATAATATCTTATTTTTAACATAAAGATGAAAACATGTAAGTATTTGTGTGATAAACAAAGTTTTACTTGTATCCCCCCCCCCTAAAAACATGAAAAAGCTTGAAAATGTTGGGGTATGAACTCACCTTGAGTGGATTTGTGGGTTGTTTGAGAAGATGGTGTGAAGATTTCCAAGCCTAAACTCTTGGCTATGGTTGATGAATTTCTTGGAAATGGTATGATCCTAAAGGTTTTAACACATTACATTATGTGTGTAAATATAATGAAACTAACACAAAAGTGTATAAAAACACTAGATTATCAAGGAAAACTTACCAAAATTCTAAGAATAATGCTTGGAGAATTTTTAAACTTGGAAGCTTTGTGCTTAATCCTTGAGAGAATTTAGAGTAAAATGAGGAAATGGAAATGGTGGGGATTTTGGGTTTTTTGTCGTGTATAAAAAGGAGAAGATGAGGGGATGTTTATTTTGGTATCTGTTGGTTAATACATGGGATACTGTTGGGTATTATATTGCGTGGGAAAAGGGTGAAACATCACTTCTTAAAGTCAACTATCCTTATCTCTTTATTCCCTAAACCGAAATCACCTTGGGAGGGGATACATTTGGTGTTTTCGGCCATGCATGACCGAAATCACCTCATTCCCTTTGTGATTTCGGTCCTAACTCCCTCACACAAGGAGTTTTCGGCCTTAGTGGGCTTGTTCTTGGTGTTTGCGGTCCTACATCCTTTTCAAATGGTGATTTCGGTCTTAGGTGCTTTTGGTTTATGTTGTTTTCGGTTCGGTGCTTCACATGGAAGGGTTTTCAGTTTAGAGATCACCCACTAAGGGGTGATTTCGGTTTTGGGGGGGTATTTTGTTAATGTGTGATTTTGTTTATAGTTTGTTGATTTTCAAGGTTAATTACGACAAGGTTTTCTAAGTATAAATTACATTAACTTATAAAAACAATGCCCTTTTGGTTTGTAAAATTTCATTGCAACAAAGTTACGTTGTGAATTCACTAGTACATGGTTACAATTTAGACCTTGTTTGATCCAAAATCTTCCAGTTGTCACACCAAACCGATGCCAAATTTGGGCACCGTCTTGATGGTTTTTAATACAAAATATAAGTGTATTTTTCATAAAAACGGGTCAACGGAAGCATTAAAAATAACAAGTGTATTTTTGAGTTTATAACAAAAACCAAACCATCTAGGATCCATTTATAGAGGTTAAAATGATATTAAAAACAACCATAAAGTGTTTTAGAATGACAACCTTTTGAGCCTTTGAACCCACTTGGTTTTGGGGTGTTGATGAATATAGCAAAATCAAAGAGTATGATTTTCTCTACAAGTATACATCATCAAGATTAAGACACTTGGAATGCTAGTTCCTTCTTGTATTCTTAATTGTCTTAAGCCTTTAAGTACTTAACTCAAATAAGTACTAAATGAGACAATTCAAAAGGGCTTCTAATCACCAAAAACTAGCTTCAAATGGAGAGATGATGAAAATAGAAGAAATTTCGGCCATCATATGGAAAAGAAGAAAAGACCTTGAATAACTAGTCAAACACTCATGCAAAGGCCTTCCTTATATACTCTAATGCAAAACATACATTTAGATTATAATAATATAAAGTATTGATAGAGTTTTAGAAGCATGAGGGACATAATAATAATTTTGGTTAATGCTTAAAAAGAAGACAAAAATTGTCTAGCTAGTTTATTAACCATGGTATGTTAACTCATTAACTTGATCATGGTTAACCAAAGTGTCCAAAACTTTGTATATGACTTATTAAATCATACTATATGATATAATAACTAGTTATACTCTCTTTAATTATTTTTTCAGAAAACAATAATTATTCCCTAAATAAATACAAGAATTGATATTATTTATTAATAATCATATTAATAATAAATATATAAAATATGTCAACTTGATAGAGGCGTGACACTATTAGAATCATATATTACTAACAATATCACTCAATAATGATTCATGAGCATATAAATTCAACACCAATGTCAGGTTTGCAAGAAATTGTAAGAAAAGCATCAAAAATGTTGGCATGCTGCAAGAAACAAAAAAAATCTTTCATGATAATTTCGGACTATAAATGGTGCTCCGGGAACGTAATGATCTAAACATTCCGGACTAGTTCTTTGTACTCTGGAATGCATCTATGTGTTCCAGAATAACATAACTATTTTTTAATACTTTGGGTCTTTAGTAACACTATAAAACTACATAATTAAGGCACCTACTAATAATCAACATAACATTTCAAACTTGTTCTTCGTCTTTTGGACAAGTTCTTTATATTCCGAGCTCAAGTTTTTACAGTTATAATTAGAAAATTAAACAAGTACAAGTAAAAGAGTCATGAACTTACCCATAAAACATCCAACTCATCAGAATCATGTCATTTCTTCTTTTGCCAACAGTCTGAAATGTGATCAAATTCCGACAGCCATTTCGGAATGAGTTATTTAATGCCATAATTCTTGAACTCATTATGATTTGGAATGGGCCGGGCCGGACCAGGCCGAACCTCAATTTAGAATAGTTCTTTCCGAACGAGATGGTCATTTCTCAAATGGTTATTAAAAGTGGTTATTTTATTTAAAAAAAATACATTAGAAAAATTGTCAGATTACTCAATTTCCCTTCAAAATGTTATTGATATGGGAGCATTTTCCGTTGCACAATTCCAATCCGGTACAGATTGTTTATAGTATTGTCCATGAAGTTGATAAGCTAATTCATGTCGGTGTCTATTTTTATTAGCAATTACAGTTATGCTATAAAATACTTTGTAAGAAAATATCTCAAAAAATCGTGTTGTTCTACCATTAAGGTCATTTGTATGCTCAACTAGTTAAGCATGCACTAATTCATGAATCTTTAGTCTTTAATCACTACAATTGTAACTCTTGTTCGGGGTATGTAAAAGTGTGGGTTTTGAAGGATGGAAATACTATGTTGGGAATCTCTTATGATAATATCATCCCCATTTGAAACATATCTCAACATCGAATAAGAAATATATATATATATATATATATTATATATAGATATATATATATATATATATATATATATCTATATAGCAAAAGCTTCATATAACTACTAACCAGTTCTTTTATCTACTACTTGTGAGACACAAACATTTAATACAAATACAATCTTACCAAGTCACAAAACCACCAAAATTTTCAACAGCTTACATACATATATATAGAGAGAGAGGGAGGGAATGTGTATGTATGATGATCAAACAAAACACCCCAAAAAAAAAAAAAAAAAAAAAAAAAAAAAAAAAAAAAAAAAAACATTTTTATGTCAAAATTAAACAGACAAACTGGTGATGAATCAATTATCAATCAGTTTCAGCAACATTTCCATACTGCCAAGGGTTGAACTCTGTATTGGCAATTGTAACATCTTGAACACTACTTGACTTATCAGCTTCAGCTCTGTGTTTGGAGTATCTCCCATTGTATTCATAAATCTCCAAATCCCCCCATGGTGTAGGGGCAATTTGGTCCGTCATGTCAAACCACTTTGGCACAAATTCTTTCCCCTTTGTTTCTCTTATTCTTTTTTCCGCCCTCTGTTTCTCTTCCAGACTTTCCAAAAACAAAAAACAAAAAAATTAGCTTCATACTTTTCAACGTTTTGGAGGGCATTTCTGTCTTTTACACTTACATGCTTTTTTCCGAACCAGCTTTTGACATGTCACCCATCTCAAGGGCATATCTGTCAGGTCGTAAGCGGGAATCTGATGCTAATAGCTTCTTTGGTGCTGTATTGAAACTGTTTACTTTATGTGCAAAATGTGTGTACTGAAATTTATCATCTGCTGGAGCCTCAGCAACTTTCCATACCTTCAAAACATTATTATAATTATTGAATATCTAACAATAAAAATTAAAATATATGAATTTAAAATATTGAAACTACCTGTGTGAGTTCAGTGTTTGGGAGAGGCTCCCCTTCAGAATCACAAGGCTGATAGCTCATGGATTCGTTCCATTTTCCTGTCATTAATATTTTTGGTTCTTCTTCTGAATTGTATACATATCCATCCACTTCATAACGTCCAGCACTACACATAAATAAAAAAACAAAAAAAGTAAATTTATATAATTTAAAAAAAGAAATTGAAGTTTACTTTGTGTATTTAAAAATCACGCACCCGAACCAACCACAAGGTTGAAAATAGAGGACAACTTTATCTCCTGAGGTCAAATTGGTCAAAACCATCTCCCCAGGGGAATCAATCCATGTTCTTCCAAATATTAAATTGTTGACTTTTGTGGGAGGGGGTACTAATTCTAGGATTACTCCATCTTTCTTTAGCTTCAAACGAGTTCTACAACAAAATATCATCCATATTTTTTATAATTAAAAAAAAAAAAAAAAAACATGGTAGAGTTTAGTTATTTACTTACCTTCCAAGAGGATAGACATCAACAGAGTTACCAAGAAACTTGGTCTTCACCTTTGAAGTTATATCATATACAAAATGCTCATTTTCAGCATGTGCAGCACTTATTGGAGGGTGATGACTCACCTAATTTTTACATTAAAGTATTATCAAATTAATATAAAACTAATTTTTTTTTTTTTAAAAAGTATGAAAGATCTTTAAAGTTTTTTTTTTTACCTGCTCTGCAATAAATGTAATGCCACAATGATTAACCATTTCATATGTTTCACCAAGAATTGGATTGAAAGGCTTCCAGGTTCGTTGTAGAGCATAATATACTGATATAAACCATGATGCTGTAATAGAAAAAAAAAAAAGATTTCATGCTTTTGAAAATTTATATAGAAAAAGGAGTGTATCAGTGTAGTGTGTGTCTATGTGTGTAAGGAATTAAGAATAATGATTTCTTACCTGTATATACTAATCGCATGTATGGATCTTCACAACTATCTGCTTGCTCTAAAAGATGGGCATATTCCATCAACTACAAAAACAATAAAAGTCTCTTACTCATTACTAATTTACTATGAACAATTATAGAAGAAGAAGAAGATATAGAAACATATTGGTGATTTGGTGTTGGGAAATACCTCTGCCATTTTCTGTAACATTGTCATGGGTTCAAAAATGAGAACAGGTAGAGTCACCATTGATGTGATATCAGCACCTACATACTTCTGCATTGACCTCCAGTAACTATCACGCTCCTGTGAAGATATATAAAAACAATGAATGATGATAATAGAACATGGATGTTAGGTGTAATAAGTACCCAAAACAGAGCAAAATGATGAGATTGTGAAGAAAAAAGTAGATAAGAGAAATAATTGAAGTGTACCTCTCCCTTCCATCTGCCTCTTTGTGCTTCAACTTCAGCATCATCAGTGCCTCCCTCGGGGTTAATAACTTCAAGCCCCTCGTAACCAAGTAATCTAAAGAAGAAAATAATCAAATACATTTAGATCCAAACAATTCAGTACATGTGACACTTGTTGTTAATCTAGACACACACTGTAGAAATACAATCTTATCCAAAGACTAGATATGATTTTGATACTTGTTAATGATTCTATTTCGGATGCAATAAGAAATTTAGAGCGGGAGAAATGAGGAAAAATGTCAGATTTTATAAAATACTCCAAAGTACCAACAACTAGGTTTTAACTCTAAAAAAAATAATGACAAATCCATGTCGATTTAGGATTTCAAATCATGATATCGTGATCACAAAATCATCATGTATCTTTGAAGGAACTTAAGTCCGATGGATGTAAACTTTTGTTATTATCAAACAATAACCACTTCAGTTAATAAGCTTCAAAGGAGAGTTTAGCTCCTGATATAACAAACCAAAGCTTCTGGTAAGTACTGATTGAGTAAAATATAAATTACAACCGGAATCGATAAGCTAATTAAAGCTAAAACGTAATCAAGTGCCGTCGAACAATCTTATAAACAAAAACTTGGTATTAAATCAAACATGCACAACTAATCCCACGATTCTCACGCTCAAAATCGGAGAAATTAAAGTGAAAACAATATTTGAAGCAAAAATAAACAGCAGCGATGGATCGATGTGAATTTAGGGTAATTACTACGACAAAACAAGAAGAAAGGTCCAGAATCATTCACCCGTTAACTTGATTCTTAAAACTGGAGAAACTTGAAGCGATCGACGAAAAGAAACCACCACCACCACCGCCACCTTGATTCTGCGCCATATCTATCTGGTGATAGAAAACCCTAGAACTCGAATAAATTCCCTTGTTTTGTAACGGATCAGGGGTTTCCCCCTCAAACTATATGTATTTGAAAGGAATCACGATCAAACAACGATTAAGAAGATGGAATTGATTTGAATCAGATCTTCGAGATAGAAAGAGTGATTTTTGATTTTAGGAAGATACGCTGTGAATTTATTGTTAATAATATTATAATATTATGGTGTGGACAAGAAGCGGATAGAGAAGGTTCGGTTGGCGGGTTTTCATTTCAAGTCAACAACGATAATGCCACGACTTTTCTCGCCTCCTTCGACCCGACTCGTTTATTCTAGATAAATATCGACTTTTCAAGAGAAAACAAAAAGTTGATATATAATCATCCTTCTCTTTTAACACTACATAAAACCCATGTTATAAAACTAATAGATTGATATTATATATAGATAGAGATATATATATATATATATAATATATATATATATCTATATATTAAACCCAAAGGAGCTCGGAATAGTTTCTTTTTAGCTTTAGGATTTTGCCACAAAGTTTGCTGAACTTGACACTTTTAGTCCCTAAGGTCAAAATTTTTACATTTTTGCCTTTTGATTAAGTTTTTGTGCCTTAAGGTTTTTGCCACAAATCTTTAATGACTTTGACACTTGTAGTCCTTATATTCAAAGGTATACATTTTGGTGTTTTTGCCACAATTCTTTAATGAATTTGACACTTTTTGTCCTTGTAGTCAAAAGTTTTACATTTTGATATAAAAAACAAAAAAAACCTCCTTTAAAATTTTGCCAACATATTTTCCCAACGTTAACAACTTAAATATTATTGCCAAAACTTTTGGATTTTTTCCACCAGTGTCCCTTTTTTTTCGTTGTACACTTTTGACATCTAATTTTAGTACTAAAAACTTTGATGGTAGTTTATTTATTTTTTGGACTATTTATGGTGATTTTACATTTAGCACATATCTTTTTAAAGTTTGCCGATTTTTTCCATATTACCCCAAAAGCGGCATAGCCGCGGGTTCTTTACTAGTTTAATATCAAAAATCAAATATCCATTTATTTTTTTCTCAATTAATCTTCTTACACATTTAAGATTAGGATAATTATCATATTTAATAAAATAAATAAATTTTTATTACACTTATCATCATGGTAGGAAGATGAGTAAAAAGAATAAGTACGAGGATATTTAATTTCTCATTTACTATTTAGTTTTCAATTTCTATTTTCATAAGACAAAATTAGAAAAAAAACCCAACCATTTATCTACCATCATTAGAAAAACTTTCACATTTTATTTATATACAAAAAACATTCATATTTTCATTTATCTTTCAGATTAATCCAAATATTCATTTTTTTAAAGAATTTATCGATTGTTTTGTATCATGACATTTATCTTGTTTGTTTTTAGGTTGTCATGAAAAAAAACATTACTTATTTTTGTTTAAATAAATGGTCGTTCAGTAAATCGTCTATTTCTCACCTTTTACCTTAGACAAGGGGCAACGTCACTTAATTTTGTTTTCATGTTAACTTATAATGTAACACCGTAATTTTCCAAACAAATTTTTCATTCTAAAAACGCATACTTTTCATAGCAAATTGTGTAGAAATCTCGTTTATTCAATTACAAACACAACGCCCATTAGTAATCCAGGATCCTCAAAACATAACTCCTCTCTCGGTGTGTACAATCAAGCCGGTGCCTTCCCGAGATCCTCTGAGATCCTGAAACACATAACACATAACACGGTAAGCATGAAGCTTAGTGAGTTCCCAAAATACCACATACAACACATACGCCACTCGAGGCTATAGTACGACCCTCCGGTCGATGTGTCTCAGCGGAACCCTCCAGTCCCGTAGCTCGTTGGACCCTTCGGTCCGGTCTGTATCGTTGGACCCTTCGGTCCGGTCTGTATCGTTGGACCCTCCGGTACGGTCTATACAACACATAGCATATATATATAACACAATGCACATAATCTCATATATACACATAGCATACAAGACCCTCCGGTCTACACATAAATTGTAACACCCATAAAATTCAGGCCAAATTAAACATTTTAACCCATTCAAAACCATTAAGTTATTACAATTTGTTTTCAAAATAGTTTTAAAAACATCAGAGTATCCCAGAACCAAATCACAAATCATGAAATATGAGGAGCGGTAACGATCACGCCTTTGCCTTGCCTTGCCACGATCACCTGATGTACTTGAAACAAGAAACTGAAAACCGTAAGCTCGAAAGCTTAGTGAGTTCCCCCAAAATACACGTACACACACAACCATACACATACAACAATGAACAACATACTATGGGTCCAATCAACCATCAGGTTGGAATACCCCAAGCCCTCAACCGCCGGGTTGGAATGCCAACATACTACGAGCCCAATCATCCTACCGGGATGGAATACTCTCGGCCCATAATCATCGGGTTGGAATGCCCATACACATATACGTACAACAATAACTACTATGGGTCCAATCATCTCGCAAGATGGAATACCCCAGGCCCCTCAACCATCGGGTTGGAATGCCAACATACTATGAGTCTAATCATCCTACCGGGATGGAATACTCCTGGCCCACAACCATCGGGTTGGAATGCCCCTACACTAGCAACCATGCACACATAACAGGCAACCACATAACACTCTACATAACCAACATACTAGGGCCCTATCATCCTACCGGGATGGAATACCCTTCTGCTACTACTCAACATACATATCCCGCAGGTAACCTCCTACCAGCGTACATAAAGCAAGACCAACTACAGGTCTATAAATATAACCACTACCCAACTACCAGGGTTCTGATCCAACAAAACTTGCCATCACTTAACTACCTTATCCTCCAGGATACTAAGATAACAGAGCATAACATCATATCATTATCCTATCTACCAGGATACTAGCAAGCATATCATCACATAAGCATAACAAGCTCTAAACAACAATTGGAAGGGCCGGCCTTGGTGCCTTAGACCCTTGAGTACAGTGAGGATAACTCACCTGAAACGAAGAACCGAACCACGAAAGCACACTCCCGAAGCACTGCTCCAAATCCCAACACCTATTGCCATCAACGGACCATTGACATAAATAACCAATTACCATAACACCCATGAAGGTCAAAGTCAAAGTCCAGGCCAAAGTCAAACTTCATGACTGACTCTACTCGCCGAGTCAACCCGTTGACTCGTCGAGTCCTTATACTCTGAAACTCTTAGAACACGACTCAACTCGCCGAGTCACCCCAAGAATCGTCGAGTCCAACGATCTTCGAGTCCCATCCTGCTCAACTCACTGAGTCACCTCCCGACTCACTGCTTCGAGGTTTAACCAGAAGAGATTGGGGTTCTGCGACCAGACTCGCCGAGTCCAAGAACAGACTCGCCGAGTCCAAGGCAATCTTCAACAGATTCTCTGAGTTGTTCTTCCAACTCGCCGAGTCCATGTACATGTTCATACAACTCGTCGAGTACACCCATGTGACTCGCCGAATCTCTCCAGTTCTCAATCCATACAGTGGCTTTTCGAACCATGCAGGGGCTCCAATCCATAGATCTACTCTTCTACAATATAACCCTCACATAAAGTGGCAAACTTTACGTGAAACCAAGGAGATATAGGCCCAAAACATCTAGGGCTAGGGTAAGGACTAGGGGGCTTCACCAACAACTCTTAGACAAGAGCTTTATGACATTTTGGACCATCACAAGCCTAGATCGGAGGTAGCAACCTCAGATCTAAGCCTCTAACACTCGAAATAGCTCTCAATCATACCAAAAATGCCCCAATCTCTCAAATGATAAAAGATCTAGATGCAAAAGAGCCCAAGCAACAGATTATTACCTCCAATATAAGCTTCAACTGAAGTAGATCCCGGATCTACACCACTCCTTTGCAGCAAGCCTCTTGATCTTCAAGCCCCTTTCCAAGATTTCCTCCTCCAAAGCTCTATTCTCTCTATTAATGGAGGCTCACTCGATTTTTAGGGTTTCTGGATCTCAAAGGGTAGTAAAGAGGCTAAAGGTGGGTTATAATGTTCTTTAATAGGGCACAACCCCCGAGATTAGGGTTTTCTCTCTACAGCACCAACTCGTCGAGTCCAAACTGCCGACTCGGCGAGTTGGCCACTTAAACCGCGACAGAATCCCGCTCCGACTCGGCGAGTAAGCAGGACCTACTCGTCGAGTCCTTCTTTTCTTTTTTTACACTTTTGGCCTTCATTCATCGAACTTCTGAAATTTCGGGATGTTACAACTCTCCCCCACTTAAATTAGGCTTCATCCTCGAAGCCTACTGCAACATACGCTTCAGAACAAACCCCTTGCACTGCAGACTCCGATTTCTCAATCAACTCGGGTTCTTACAAACCCTACTTCTGCATCTCTCTTAAAATGGCTTATCCTCGTGTGGCATCCTTGCCAATACTCTCAAGCCGACCATTGGCCTTTTCAACTCACAAGCACCACCTATCAATCACGAATCACCCGATAATACTAACCTTCATATTAGGGGCACACTTCCGCGCCCTGCAAACGCTAGATTCCACAAACACCCACTGAGCTCTGCTAAGACACTAATCCATCTTCCTTCGCCCAAGATTGGCGATAACCCTGATAACTTGTGTAGCACCTGGTTCTTGGTATGTATTTTTATTTAAGTATTTTGCATTTTTGGCCTTGGACTCGGCGAGTTGAAGGACCAACTCGCCGAGTAAAAGCGGATGAGGGAGGCGCGGGATTTAAGTGATGGACTCGTCGAGTCGGGTCCCGGACTCGACGAGTAGGCTCTGACTCTGACTAGAAAACCCTAATATGAGGTTTTGCACCTATTTAAACAACCTTATGCAGCCTCCATCGCCCCTTTATGCTCCCAGAACCCTCCATAGCAAACCCTAAGTGTTTTGGTGCAAGATCTAAGGCTTTTGAGTGATTTTGGTGGTTTTGTTCACAAGGAAGAAGGAAGAGCATAGAAGGATCAAGAGGGAACTGAAGGATTCGAGTTTGGTTCATCATTTGCAGTCTTTGAGAGGTATAAAGTCTGTACCTTGCTCTTTCATTTTGATAAATCCCTTTTTGGGGAGATTTTAGGGCTTTTATAAGCCATTTTTGTGGTAACCAACCATGATTGCAAAACATGGTTGGGGTTGAGGCTTTGGAATCAGGTCTTTAAAGGGGTCACAAGGTAGATTTGGGTTGCTTTTGCACACCAA